GAGAGAGAGAGAGAGAGAGAGAGAGAGAGAGAGAGAGAGAGAAAGCGAGCATATATATATAGTAATAATATAATCGATTATATGTATATCGATAATTTAGTTCAAATTACTAAAAATGAAGAAAAGATAGATGAAACTCTAGCTTTCTATAACAAAAAATTAAGGTTAGAGTAACCTTCAATCATTCACATAAATTTGTTGATTAGACATTAAGACAAATGTTGATATCAATATACATACAATTAACATTTCATAGTTTCAAGACAAAATTACTAGACTTTAAACTAGTTTATTCTGAATTATTAAAAAAAATAATTAGAAACATTTAAGTCCCAAAAAAATTACGAATTAGCAAATATTGCGCGCCCATACAATGGATTACTCGATATCCAATTTTATAATCCATATTTCATAATATCCACATTATTTTAATCTACGTAGAATAATGATATATGTATTACAACCTAATAGCAGTTTCATAAATCTAAAGAGTCGATAAAGCAATATCCCAGATTTTTTCTTAAATATTAAAAATATTTGTGAATGCAATCTCTTGGAACATAGTTGTAGAAGAACTAGAGAATATAAAAAATTTTTCATGTTTTTTTCATTGTATATAATATATGTATTTTTTAATACATTTATAAACCCCAAGTTTGACTTGAAATTGTGGCTCGACCTATAATTAGGACTGTTATCTTATAGTTCTATATAGAATAGGGAGAGTAAAATTACTAAATAAATTAAGTTGGATAGGAAATGTGTATTATAATAGTATGTATTAGACAAAGGCATTTTTGACAGAGAGAGAGAGAGAGAGAGAGAGAGAGAGAGAGAGAGAGAGAGAGACGATTAGTATTTTATTTTACTAATTTATTGATTTATTTATTTATTTGTTAAATTTTGGTGATTCAAGCTACGGACATATTCGAAAAACAACACTTAAACAGAGAGAATATTATAATTTTTTTTCGTGCAAATTCTTTTCAATTTTACTGTGTTTTCAGTAGTCCAAGAATAGACTGCCGGTCTCTCTCTCTCCCCCCCCTCTCTCTTTCTCTCTCTCTGCCTTGCTAACGGACACAGTGAATTTCGCTAGAAACATGGCGAATGTTTTGATAGCACATTTCAGTCCCCAAAATACAAGTATATGACGTAAAAGGATAGCGGCTAACCGCAGAGACTGTCGGCCTATTCCAAAGTCCTACACATGCAGCGCGATTCTTATTAGAAAATTCCGTGTAGGAGCAGCGGTGTAACGTCGAGACTCTCGGGTGATTAAAATAGTGTTTCTGGTACGTCGACTGTTCCGCAGCGCGCGTACTATCGGAGCGGTATACACCGGTTGTACGCAGTTACGGTACACCCACGGTAGT